CCGCACACAAAAGTATCAACTATATTTACTTCAGAGAATGCGGTACATTTTGTGAGCTTTGGGAGCTGTCCTGAATAGCTCTCTGGCAGCATGGATGAAATCCCAGGAGATGCCACTGAACACAACCACCTTTCTGTTTACCACTTAGTTACAGAAATTGTCCCTAACATACTCTGAGTACATGGATGGATGAACTAAAGAAATCTACAAGCACAATCCACATACTAGAATGAAATGACTGTTGCAGTCTCAGTAGATTAATTTATATTTTTCTTTCAGATGAAGTTGAAACTAACAAAGAGGGAATTTCTGGACAGGAAAAGATCACTTGGCTCATGAATATAGTCCTGTTCAAGGCTGCCTCAGCCCCATGCTGTTGCTTTCTCACTGTGCCCTTCCTTCTTCATTAAAATGTATTGCTCTCTCAAACTCATTTATTGTTTGATTTGATGGCCTCACTTAGAAATATATTCTATGTTTTATTCACTCAGCAAAACAGTTCTGCCTCAATAAATGCCATACACTTACACTTGCAATTGTGATCCTCAGTTTTCTAACCTTTTTGTTGTGAGCCATTTATCTTGTTCCATTTTATCAAATCCTTTCATAATTCTGAATGCTTATATTAGGTTACCTTGCAATCTTCTCTCCTTCAATAGGAAGAGGCTTAGACGCTTTAGCCTGTCTCCAAATGAATATTTTTGAAATACAGAATTGCCTTGACTATTCTAATCTTCACCTTTGTCTAAAAGCAATCAGATCCATGGGAAGTCAATGGCAACTTAACTCAGCACTCACGAGGAACTGATCCAAAGTTAATCAATGGGCATCTTGCCATGAACTTCTGAGGCTTTGAATCAGACCCTCTGGGTATGTCTAGACTACATGCCTCTGCTGACAGAGGCATGTAAATTAGACATACTGACATAGTCAATGAAGCAGGGATTTAAATATCCCCTGCTTCATTAGAATAAAAATGGCCGCCGCGTTGTGCCAGATCAGCTGTTTGTCAGCTCAATGCGGCAGTGAAGACGGGGATCGGTTGACAAGAAAAGTCTTCTATAGCACCTAAACACTGTTGTCTCTGTATATCTCTGAGCTATTATCTTCAATAATTTGCTTTGCCTCTGGAAAAATGATTCATTGTGCTATTGCACAGAACTATATAAAACTCCTCAGCAATGTTAGCTGGGCATGATTCTGACAAATTGTCCCGTCTTTTTTGAATGATACATTATAACAGTTGCGGAACACTTACATTTTAATCAGTAAGGAAAATGAAATGTTTGACCTTTCAATTTTCTGTGCAAGCTTACAGACAATAGAGAAGATAATTAAAACCGTGAATTAAAACTTGCAAAACAATGCTGTTTCTTTAGCAAAGAGAAATGTCTGTACAATAAAGGTCACTTATCAGCCAGTTCTAGTTATTAAATCTTTGTACTTAGCACTGAAGTGGCTCCACAGAATCAAAGGTCAAGTCATTAAATAATGAAACAAGGAGAATTAGAAAAAAGGTCATAGGAAATCTTAACTACAGCTGACCAGATACAGACAAATTTACTCATGGGCAGGACCTAATGTAGCCCTTGAGCTAAGCAGATGTGGTTCACACTGGCACAAAGCTGAATTTGACCCAAGATATGCAAAAAACATCTCTGACCCCAACTGTACCACAGTGCACCACTGTACTCTACACAGTCAGCCTCAATTACTAATGATATTAAGGAAATGCAGATTTATTTTTTCAATGGTTATTTTAATAATGAGAAAGTAATTTTGTAATTTGGAGACCATACACATGTAAAATATAAAAGGACAATTATTAGCAGTTCACCACATATTAATTTACTCCTCTAATGCTGAAACAAATTAGATCTTTTCTTGTAATCATACTATTTGAGTGAATTCTAACAAAGCCAGTTGAACAAAGCTCCAGAGATACATTCCTTATTTCAGTGCCATTTATTCCTTTACTCTTCATGGATGTCTTTAGAGTTTTAGTTTTAGAGGATATAACATTCATAATGATGCCAATAGGGAATAGATTGTGCCTTTATTCATCTTGATGTTCTTTTGAGGTTTTTCAAATGAAAGGTACAAACGAGGCATTAACTATCTGGCATTGTTTTTATTGCTTTTCTCTGCTTTACAAGCAAAAAATGTATTTTAATTTTTTCCATATTTCAATAATGATTAACCAAGCTGTTTTTAATCTACACTAAGTCACTTTCTGCAGACTTCTAACTGGGAGCAAGAATTTCCAGGCTTCTCCTCAAGAATACTCAGCACATTTACAGGAAAGAAAGAGAGGCAAAACTCAATATGCTTGCATGTTCACAAAAATCAGAATTTTCAATTTGATGCTGTTCTCAGGAGCACCATATAAAATTAATAATCTATAACTAAACATCAAAAAAATAAATACATAAAATAATAATAAATACTAGATTTGATTATACTGTTATTGTGTGTCCCTCTTTTCCTTCTGCCTTTTTAAAAAAAACTCCAGCAGTTCACTTGGCTTCTCGCTCAAGGCATCACACTGCAGCAAATGTCTATCTTCATAAAATGTAATATTAAAATTCATAAACATTTTAATATTGGACATTATTTCAAAGTAAGCAATATGTCAACAGATGTCTCAGTTGCTAAATGATATAGAACATAATGCTCCCTCTTTATAATGCTGTTCACAAGACACAAATGACCAGTATATTTTCTGTAGGTGTGTCCCTGTCAATTATATTTGCATAGTTTTTATTTGAACTGTATGAATTGATGGCCAGAGTACAATAGTTTCCTAATGGGAATAGTCTCTCGACAAAGGTCTGAAGAAAGAAAGATTTGGGGGTTCTTGTTCCAGACATGGATCTAGTTGCCACAGAACTATTAATCATGGAAAATAACAGTTCTTTAAGGGTATGCCCACAGTGTAGACAGACACCTGCAGCTGGCCCTTGTCAGCTAATTGGGCTCATGTTACTTTCCACATGAAGGCCATTATCATCTGTAGAATATATAAGCCTTTTTTAGAAATGACCTTTGCAGGCTTATGAATTGTGAATTGCCAATCACAGTGTAAACTGATGCAGCAACATCTTCCTGAGTCTGCAGATAGATCCAGTTCCTCTACGGCTGCTTGCAATATGCTGCAAAGTGGCAGCTGACAAGAAGGTCATCAGGGACTGCCACTGTTGGTGGGAAGGGTATGGGTAACTTTGAAATTGACAAGAATCAAGTAAATTTCACTCTGTTAGAACATGAGAAAGCTCTGAGCAGCAGCTGGGTAAGCACTGGAATTATTAACTGGGTTTTTCCCTGATTAGTGAGATCTATCTTCTTAGCTTTGTCCTCTGGTTGTTAGGTGGCTGATTAAACCTTT